GGGGGGTAAGCTGGAGGGTCCTTTGTTCCTAGTGAAAAAGAACATTAGGACACAGGATGTCAGAGGACTGTGATCTGCCATCTGTCCAGGTGACCTCTGGGTTGCCTGCTCTCCGCCCCAGTTATGAAATCTCTTGCATGCCTGTTAAGGGGACGAACCGCACCATCTCAACTTTCTCCTCCGTGTGGTGTTCTTTACATTTCCACCACTTCATCATGTTATTAACTCGATTTCCTTAGCATGTATCAATGTGAGCACACATCTAGGCCTTGTGGCAATCTGTCAAGACCTTTTAACACAACACTGGAGAGAATCTCAAATTTCCATGTCCAAACATGTAGCTGGTCTCCACAGAAAAATTAGATGTAGGTCAATAGTTTTGGAAATAGACTGTATCAGAATCATTATACTACTTACCAGCCAAATACCAAACGTTCCCAGTATCATTGTCTACTGCCTGCTTTGTGGGAATACTTAAGCAAATAATACTAAGATCAGATCAGTATAATATTCCTAGTGATTTTGGTTTTCATTCCTTTGGAGCTAAAATTAAAAAGAAAGTTGAAATTACAAAAGGATTTCATCTACAAAGATGAGTAGCCAGAAAAATTTGGCTCAAGAATAATCTTGTTCTTAGTTCAAAATACTTTGTTTAATGAATATTGCCCTCCCTGTTCAAAGGTATTATTAATTAACTGACTGAATGGATACCTAATGAATCCTTGTTTTATTACAAGATTTCTGGATGCTCAAGTGATAAGAACACCCTCAAGAAGTTCTAGAACATGTCCAGTGGGTAAAAGCCCTTGTCAGGCATGCATAAAGACCTGCATTGGGATCCCCACCAGTCAGGTGTCGGCTGGGTGTGACCATGTGTTCTTGTAATCCTAGTGCTGGGGAGAGGGAGATGGGCTGATCCAGGAATTTCAGTGACCAGCTGGTCTAGCCTAAACAGTGAGTTCCAGGTTTAGTGAGAGACCATATCTTAAGGGAATAATGTTTAGAGTGACCGTTATGGCCATCCATCAACCCTGTTTGGCCTCCACATGCCTCTGTACATGTTACATCTCTGTACACACAAGTACATAAACACAGATAACACACACAAATACACAAATAGACTTTTTATTTATAAAGAATTATAATGTAAATTTAGCCCTGTCTTCAGGACTTTTCCATTTGTCAAAAGTCAGTTTGATTTCCTGGTAATCAAACAAAAACCAAATCATAACATCAAAATTGAAGCAGCATTCATGAGCAGCATCTGAAACAAGCTGTGTCCATTTGAATCAGCCAAATGCTGCCCTCAGCTAAGGATAAAAATGAATACGTTTTCCCAAGATAGACAAATTAATTCATAGTTTATGACTGTAACCTTTCAGACAGATGGGTCACTATCCATCCTTGTTATATGTATTGTACCCATCTATTCTATTTCCCACTATAGTTTCTAGTAAAACAGAGAATTCATACAGCCGTGATAGGGTTAGTAACAGGTCATCATAGTTCAGGCCATAGAGTGACGAGCCAACAGCATGGCCATTCCCTTTGGTCTTCAGTAGAAATGCTCTCTACAATTACTGCTAGATTCCTCCTCCCCCCTCCTCCTCCTCTCAGAAGAAAGAGATGTGTTGTCGGCATTCATTTGCTAAATGTGTTCTCATGGCACACCCATAGTAGACCTGCCGCTGGTAGATAGCTATTCCTGAAGTTCCTATGATGTGCTGAGCACATGGTGTTGGTGAAAAACCCCTGTGTGCTGGGTTCCCCATCAATATCAACAATGGGGTCACATCCTAGAAACAAACTCAGATCTATAGCCTTCCCCACCCGTCGAGCTACCCAGAGTATCGTAATTTCTGCTTAGGAGAATCTGCACAAGCCTGCTCCAAGAGTTTCCCGAATTTCCAAAGTGGGAAACGCTTCCCATTGAGAAAATTAGTTTTCACAGAAGCAAACTAGTTCCTTTGCTTCAGAAGCTGCTGTTAATGAAACACAGGAAGACCTAGGCCCTAGGCTCACCCCGAAAGTAAAGGTGTTTCTAACAGGGCACTTAGAAGACATCACACAGCAACCATGTCTTTGATCACCCTTCCTTACTTGTGGTGTTGAAAACATGTAAAAACCAAACATCTATTTAGAGGGAAAAGCTGTAAATGGGTTATTTCACCTAAATGAAATGCAATTTTATCTGAAAAGACCCTTTTTTCTTTCTGTGCGAGGCAACAGTAATTTAATTTAGGAGACTGTTAACCTCCAATGTAACAAATATATAAATCATATTAAAACCACCTTGAAGTTTGTAGTGTGTGATGCGATAGATCCCAAGACCATTTGCAAAGCCCAGCTAAGTGACTTATGCAAAATGTACACCAGATAGCAAAGAAGGGAATCAAGGTTAATTAAAAGCAAACACTGTCCATGATCCTCTTTCTTTCTTTCTGTAGTTGTCGCCTCATACAGAATGCTTCAGAGCAATTTTCCTGACCATTCTATCAAGACTTTAGTTTCTTCCTTGTGTCTCTCGTTGTCAGACACACTCTTCACGAGTTTGGAAGCCACCAAAGAGACCTTAAGTTTGTTTTAAAATTTCAGGCAACTCTGAAATATTTAATGAAAAATTTTGCCAATGTTAAGTTCATAAACTTCTAATTTGGTAAGATTATAACAAACCAATGATATCACCCCACATTAGGAAAATTGAAATGATTTGGATCAACCATTATTACATTTCATACATGAAACAAGCACTAGGTTTAGGCCTCAGAAAACTTCAGCAGTGTTTGAAACAATTCATATGAGGAATTCTTTTATTCTTTGTGGATTTTTTTAAAAAAAATTAAAACAATTTAAACATTTGGGAATACTGTAAGAAGCACACATTTCATGTCTATGGAACAATGAGATATCCCATAACTCTTGTAACACATCTCCTTATTGATTTCTTTCCTATTGAATACAGTAATGATCTCTGCCAATGATGACAACCTGCTTTTTTCAGTGGTATCTCTAAGTCAAAACAGCTGCTAGATGTGTGTTTCCCCAAAGCTTGGTGTCTTGCACCATTGAGTTATTGCTGCCTGCCACACATGAGAGCCGGAACTCCTGTCTGTGTGACTAAGAAGATTGTGGAGGCCGTAAACAGAGCATCTAACTGTTTCTGTTATCCGCATTCCAAGAGCCACAAGGTGCTTTGGGAGTCTGCTCCTTCAGATGTGTAGATATTTGGGCTCAGAATGCACTGACCCATGGGTCCCCTTCTTAATTTGGGTCTCTTCTATCTGCAGACATTGAAAATTGTAGAAAAATAACAAAGTCACTGTGATAAACAGCCATTGCATCTACACAGAAATCTTTAACTTAAGTTTATTATTATTACTAGTATTATTATTTTAGTGTTTCAAGATAGAGTTTCTCTGTGTGGTCCTGGCTGTCCTGGAACTCACTCTGTAGACCAGGCTGGCCTCGAATTAACAGAGATCCTCCTACCTCTGCCTCCTGAGTGTTGGGATTAAAGATTCCACCACCTCCTGATTTATAAATCTTTAAGAAACTTCTTTATCTTGTCTTGATGTTTCTAGGGAATAGAGCACAACTTGCGAGTCACAGCTAGTCCCTGACCCCAGTGAAAGCAAAACAAATAACATACAAAAACAAACTTAAAAATGCATTCAGTCCAAAGTTTTAAAGGGCAATTTAGGGGGAAATAGGCACTAAGGGACATTTGAAGGTGAACAAAATTAGTTTGCTTTGGAAGAGAATAGAAGATAAGATTTGCATAACTAGATATAATAATGTGGTAGATAAGATATATATTGAGGACTACTATAATCCCAGAAAAGAAGAGCAGAAGAAAGAGAAGTGAGCCAGGAGAAAAGAAAAAACAGCGTGAAGAGAGAGCTATCTCCTATTGGCCACCTGGACGAGAGCTCGTCATGTGAGCAGGGTTGAGCTGTTTGAAAACATAGCAACTATCATGCCTCAAGACTGTCTTTAGGAAAGGAGAGTAAAGGACACATCTGCTGTCTCCTCACTTAGTTAGTGTCAATGTTCCAGGTCCTACCCAGAGAGTGTTACTATCCCTACACTGAGCTACGAGGAACCACTGGAGCATCTAAGGCACCACGGCTTTAGTTGGCAGATGATGTGACTGAGCCTACACGGTCTATTCCTGGATCTGTATATGGGAAGTTACACAAGTCACTGCTTGAGCTGTGCCAGCAAGTCGGACACGAGCAAAAACTGACCTTGTGTGAAGAGTAAATCCAGATGGAAAGTTAGATTCCCCAGACAAAATAATCAGTTGCTTCCTTCTTGGTGTTTCTATAGGTTTTTTTACCTGCCAGTTTTCTTTCCTGACTCATTGTACCAAAATTATTTATGTGTGTGTGTCTGACTCTTGTGAAAAGACTTTGAAATCTTTAGGTAATGTAGCCTTTCTTCTATTTCTTGGGAGTAATTGATCGAGTTTAGACCAGTCAACACTGAATAAATAGTTGGATTCTCTTTGCTCTCAAAAAATCCTAATTTAGATAGGGAATTATAGAATCATGGTCAAGACAGAAAGTATGTTGGTTCCTTATTTAATATCTGGGCCCTGGTATGTAATTAATAAGAGGTTTACTGGTTGTTATAAAACAAAATCGTAAAAGCTAAAGAGGAAAGACATATTAGCAATACTTTCTAAATTAGAGAATAATTACGTCAGCAGGTCCACAGGAAGAAAATGACAACTGCACAATTTAAAGGTTTCTAATTCACGATTTCAAGCTTTGGTTATGGAGAGAATTGCAAGAAGGAGATAATATTAGTTGATAAATTAGCAATAAATACAACTTAACCAATGGTCATTTGTGTCAGAGGCTGAGCCCTTTGCATGTGGAATCCCGTTTCTAACATGTACCACTGGTGCCTACACACAACATGGCTTGTTCTTTTCTAATAAAGTAGTCATCTTGTTGGGGGTAGAAATATGCCCAATCTCAAATCCCCACAGCAGCCTATCCTCTCCTGCAGCAAGGGGTGGCCATGAGACACAGAAATAGCCTTTGGGGTTTCTCTGGCTCTGCCAGCTGCCCATCAGGGTAAGTACGGCAGTAAAGGCACTTGCTTTCAAAGCGACAGGTCCCTTATTCAAGATATTTGCATGCCTTTATCCCTGTTCTCTGTTTGAAAGCTTCAATCAACTCTTTTTTTTTTTTTTTTCATTCTGATCTTCTACCCAGTACACACTTGGAATTTCAAGCTCAAATATCATACGACATTCTGGACAAGACTTTATGATTGGGTTTTCAAACTGCTTGGAGCAACTCTATTGGCAGATGGAGGACAGGCAGTAGGTGTGGCTGCAGCTGGAGAGAATGGCAAACCTCCCCCAGAAGCCAATGCCTTCTTCAGATCACCTCCGTTCAGATGCTGCACACTGTGTCCTGGTTCTCCTGGAAGACACAAGCCTTTTCCATCTTGTGTTCAAATGTCAACATACACATCTCATGAGCTTTCTTTTGTTCTGAGTCAAAGGGGTGCAGAACTTTTAACCTGTAGAGCTCACACATGCAGGAAGACTCAGGCATCTCCAAACAGGCATTCCCCAGCCGCAGCATAGAGGCACAACTGCTGCTCACTGCTATAGGAGATGCTGGCCTCCAAGCCATCCAAGCCACTTCTGATGGCATCTGGGTAGGAATGGGGCTTTGTCTCTGGGCTGTTCTGAGGGTCACTGCAGCCACCTGGATTATTCCCTGTGCTTGGGTGAGTCTTATCTTCAGCCAGGCCAGTGAGATTGCATTTTCTGAGCACCAGAGTCTTCTCCCGCTTCCCCGGTTCATGCAAATATGTTCTCATTACAGTGGTGGTGTTGTCAGGAGGAGGGCGAGGATGAGGCAATTTCTCTGGCTGGCAGAGCCAGAGAAACGTTGGAAGCAGCTGTCAAGGCACTGTGAGGTTCTTTAACTCGGTGCATGGTGCGGGAGAATTGTCTGTATTCTGTCAATCATGTTTTAAATAAACGCTGATTAGCCAGGCAGGAGGTATAGGCGGGAAAACCAGATAGGAAGTGGAAATGATGCAAGGAGAGCAGGAGAATTCTGGGGAGGAGGAAGTTGATTCCTCCCATTCCTGCCCAGAACACAGAAGTAGCAGGATGTGAGCTGCCCCACTGAAAAAGGTACTGAGCCACATGGCTAAAATAGATCAGATAAATGGGTTAATCAAGATGTGAGAGTTAGCTAGTAAGAAGCCTGACCTAACGGGCCAATCAGCATTACAACTTATAGAGATTTCTGTGTGATTTTTCTCTGGGACTAAACAGCAGGGGGGCCAGGCAGGACAGAAAAACCCTCAACAAACATGCCCATCCTTTTCATGTTACAGGTGCAGCTCGGGGATTTTAGCGAGAACTGAGAAACCCCGCAGGTCCCCAGCACAGATGACGTCTACGTGACAGAGCTTGGAGACCTCTTCATGCACCTTTCTGGAGTAGAACCATCAGAAACCTAGACTCCGTGCTGACACCTTCTTTTTGGGTTGTGCGGTCACAGCTTCCCAAGGCAGGCTGTGGAAGCCTGTCACTGACCCAAGGTGGCTGGCGTGGTACTCCGATGTGAGTGTGGTCGCAAATCCCCTTGGTCTCTTGATGCTCCACTTTCACAGCCCTGGTGAAGGGAAGGACGTAAGACAACCAGGTCCATGGATTCACTACGTTTAGAGTTGAGCTCTTAGTTATGCCTCCAGCCCCTGTCCTGGGGACCAGCTATGTGGTCCAGCTGGTTTTACTGATTGCTTTGAAATGAAACCCAACTGCCATCTCTCTTTTGTGACTTTCTTAAGCAACAGGAAACTCGGAGCTGCTCATAAAACAGCAGATCTGTTTTTCTTACCAAGGTGTACAGCGAGCAGCTCTAATGCAGTGTGTTGCGAGCTTGGGATTTGTGCAGCTCTGTAGAGCACACGGTCAACATGGTCTTGTTGGTGCTGCACCATAGCATAGACTGCTATTGTCTGGGGATGGTCAGGCTTGATTTAATCCCCTTCAGAGTCCCAAGTCAGCGGGAATGTGCAGTTGACAGTTAAAGAGTGGGTCCTGTAGTCCAAGGAGCCCTATCTGTAAAGATCTCCTGGGAAACTCCATCACCATCCTAACCTTGGAATGAGAGCGTAAGACCCTGAGGTGCCACATTCAAACCGCACATTTTCGCCTATAAAGTAGGCTCTACTCTATGCTGTTTTCGTGGTCCTGACCCAATAGTCACTTGTATCTGAGGAGACGTGAGACCAAGACAGTTTGGAAATGTAGTGTGTAGAATCTTGTAATTCAGACCAAGTTTGTTCTAAAACTGAATTTAGTCTTGTAAAAAGTTCTGTAGACAACAAATATTTTATAAATGTACTCCTTTTAGTGTGTGTGGGGGGTGTATGCTTTTTGCTTGGCTGTTCATATAAATGCAGAGAAGGTTCACACAGCACACACCCTCAAAACAAGAAACCAAACAAGTAGGGTGTTCGTGTTGCGAGCTCAGTATTACTTTTGAAGGAGTCAGTAATCATTAAACCTAAATTTAATTTATTTTATTAAAATAACATAATTGAGGAACCATCAGATAACTGTATCTTATCAGGCACAATAAAACCAAAATTAAAACCCCCAAAAGAATAGCCTTTGGATCACAGTAGAAGCTTACTAAAAGAATTTCTGAAAAAGAGGTGCCTTCTAGATGCAAGGGGATCAAGCTTACATCTTCTTTATCCTTCTTCAATGGGATGTCGATGCTACACTTTTAAAAGCAAAATCTCATAACCACAGCTATGAAAATCACACTTGTAAGTTCTGTCGGCATTGACTGCCAAATACCAGACCATGAGAGATAAATCCCTAACTCTCTAAATCACTGTTAATTTCTGCTGATAGCCTGATTTGCACCTTCACAACTTCCGTGGAACATTAGGTTCAATCTTACATCTTTTTGCCGGTGCAAACAGCAGTTTCATTCATCAGTTCACACTGGAGAATTCATTTGAGGATATTTATTGGTCAGCTACCTAGGTACCAAGAACTAGTCCATGATGACACACGAGGAAAACAATACCTTTCATTTTCCGGTGCACTTCCAAAGTGTTACTGCTTGCTCACAAATTCATAGAGCTATGCAATTGTAGTTAATCAAACTAAACTAGAAGGATAATCATGTAAACATGAGTCAGACGTAATCGGATGAAAATTCTCTAGATACATTAGTTGAGACTAAATGCATAATTTCCCTTTAATTCAATAAAGGAGCAATTTGAAATCCGTATCCTGTGCAGAGAATGTTACCAAAAAAAAAAAAAATGGGGGGAAAATGTAAGCGCAACCCCTCTAACAGACTGTAGGTTATATTTTAATTAAAACTTTAATTAAAAAAAAGATTAACAATCGTTGTGACCCAGCAATCCTACCGCTGGGCGGATATCCAAAGGAAAAAATAAATTGTTGAAGAGACATAGGCACTTCCATATCCACGGTAACTTTCTTCATCTTCACAATTATATAAAGTGAAAATGACCTAAGAATTCATTGACTGATGAGACAGTATGGGAAAAGGGGTGCATGTGTACAATGGGATGCTATTTGGTGATTAAAAGAGATTGAATCATGTCAGTTACAACAATGCAAGCACAGAGAGACAGTTCCTTTACTTTCCTCTACAGTTTCTCTTTAGCATGTAGATCAGGGGCTTTGGACAGTACTGTCAATCTGAGTTCATATCCAAGTGACTTTTCTATCTTGCCAAGAACAGCAAGACTTGGCAAGAAGTGAGGATAAGAAGGCATTGCTTTTCTGGCAGCAGCAAGTGTGTCTTCTAAGAACTGTGGTCAGAGGCTGTAATGAGGTCTTTATACTGAAAAGAAGCTTCTGATTGAAGTCTGAAAAACAAAAGTCAAAACCAGTTACTTTTCTTGATTTTCACAGTTCTTTTTAGTTGGAGAAATTTTTTCTGTTTTCTTTGTTTTTAAAAAATGATAATGCTACCATGAAAAAATAAAGTACATTTTCCAACCATCTAAACAGGTGAACCTGGTGGTTCAAGTAGTCAAATAATGATTTTGAGAGTTAAAGACCACAATACTTACCTTGATCATTCAATAAAAAAACACAGATTTGCTTTGCAAGATTTTATGAGGATTTCCTGATAAAGTATGTTATTTTGTCTTCAGATTGTGAATGGTTGAAACACTAATTTGTCAGTGAGAACATTGAAGACTTTTTGGCAAATAATATTAAAAGTAATTAAAATGATGGATTCACACCATGACTTGACTTATGATTCAGACACAACAGCTTGTTCCTTCCAGGAGCTGGCACACTGTAATGTCCATGGATACACAAAATAGGTGTTGAAATGCCTCCTGTCCTGAAGAATGCTGTGGGATAATGTTCTTGTATACTGTAAAGATTTGTCACTTGTATTGGTTTAATAAAATGCTGATTGGCCAGTAGCCAGGCAGGAAATATAGGCGGGGTGACCAGAGTAGGAGAGTTCTGGGAAGAGGAAAGGCAGAGATGCTGCTGCAAGCCAGAAGTAAATGAAGCAAGATGAGAATGCTTTGCTGAGAAAAAAAAATACAAAGTCAAGTGGCTAAACATAGATAAGAATTATGGTTTAATTTAAGTTGTAAGAGTTACTTAGATATAAGCCTGAGCTAATGTGCCAAACAGTTTATAATTAATATAGGTATTTATTTGGTACTGAATAGCTATAGGAACTGGTGGGACAGAAACTTCCATCTACAGAAGAATATGCCTATATGGATGTTGTATGGTTTTGTTGGAAGTATTAACTCATCAAAAAACTAATGAGCTTTCCTGAAAGGAATTAAATGTGTTTTGGAGTTCTGAACTACCTGACACCATTTTACCCCGCAGCAGAACTTGTGTTCCACGTGAAAGAACCCAAGGAGCTTCTGATTCTGTCTTTTGTCAGACAGCCTGGCTGGTATAAGGTTGAAGCTTTCATGGGCTAAATAGGTAACCCTATCTGCAAACAGCTCTTCCTCTACATGTAGATATATGTGTATGTATCTTACATCTCTGTGGATGTTTACAAATGTATCTGAAATTGTAACTGTGTCACAAGTTGAATGCCTTGGTAATGGCTTTAGTCAATTTGCAACATGAGTTTTAGTACTTACTCTACATATGACAGTTCTCTATAGAAATCATAATCTCACCAAGAAGTTCACTCTAAAAATCATAACCACAGAAAATGATAGTGCCTGTAAAGACTGCTATTGATACATTTTGTATGAAATAAAACTTATAGGCAAATATGTAGACAATTAAGTATTCAAAGAGAAGAAATGTAAGCAACAAATCCCAGAAAGTAAAGGTTATGACAGTGGTTGATGTGGCTGTAGGCAAATAGTTAGCAGACTTTCTAAATACTCAGTGTTTGATCACTGAGGAAGATAGTACTCTGTTTGGTAAAGCATGCTCTGCCTTTTGATTCTCCAAAGCATTAGTAACCTTCTGATCCAGTTTTCTAGAAAGAGTTCTCTTATAGCAGACATGAAAAATACAGGGTTCCATGAAACATACTCTCAAAGCTGCAAGATGCAGCTGGCCAGGTTAAAGCTTTTCCAATACAAGCAAGTCAGTGCCTAATACTCTTAAATATTCTTTAATTTTAGCAGAGATCTAGCATTGTGTAACTTCTAGGTCAACATCCTTACCATTTTACATATTAAGGTTGCATTGTCAGAGAAATTACATCACCTACTTGTGCAACTACAAGTATGGGATACAACATTTATGGGAGAGCTTTTCTCTGAAGTTGTATTTCACCTGGACACATCAAATACTCGTTCTCCCTACAAAATGGAGTTTTTGCAAGGTTTATTATACGAGATAAGGAAAAGCA